GTTCAGGACCCGTTCAGGACTCGTTCAGGACCTGTTCAGGACCCGTTCAGGACTCGTTCAGGACCTGTTCAGGACCTGTTCAGGACCCGTTCAGGACCCGTTCAGGACCCGTTCAGGACTCGTTACAGATACAAATAAACGCAGACAAGTGAGCGATTGAGCCTCGAACATCATTTATAGCATTAAGAGTTCGGTGGAGTTTCATCCTGCAGGGGTCAAGTTCCTGCTTTTACACATAAATTTGAAAAATGTTTTCAAATGTTGTCTTTTTGTTAGAATTGTCATGTAAAGCAAATTAAAAACATGAAATGGACTTAACTGTAAGTGTCTTCAGAGAAGCTTTTGTTTTGATTTGAGGTGTTTTTTTCCTCGCAGGCTGTTGAGCAGCTAAACATTAAGACGAAAAGTTTTAAAGACTTGCTGACGGACGAACCCTTCACCAGGAAGGACATCATAACCCTTCAGGTCAGCCCTTTCTTCCTTTAATATTCATTTAGGTTCTTCAGAAAGTCTTTAAACATTCTTCTGTTTTTAAAGGACCCCACAAACCTGGATAAATTCAACGTGTCCAGCTTTTTCCACGTGCAGAACAACCTGAAAGTGTTGGACCCAGGTGAGGTGGACATGCTCTGTAAACGTGGAAGCATCTGTTTGTTCTGGTTTTAACCCGTCTGCTCCTGGTTCTACTGTTCAGACGAGGAGAAGGCCAAGCAGGACCCGGCGTACCACCTGAAGAGCACCAACCTGGAGACCAGAGAGACCTTAGCCGAGCTTTATAAAGACTACAAGGGGGACCAGCTGCTGGCCTCCACCATGAAGGAGCCGCAAGCAAAGAAGACGGACAAACTAAACGCTGTAAGTCCGACCTGAAGCAACGAGGAGCTTCTGGTGACCAAACGCTGTTCAAACATTTCATTTAGACTTTAAACCTGAACTGCTTCTGTTATTTTCACATTTACATCTTATTAGTTTTAACCACGCCTAATGTCGTGTTTGCATGTAACACTATAATAAGACCACGTTTCACATGCTGATGTCTCCAGAACGATCTTTATGAACGGGAGCAGCGATGTTTTTGATGCGTAGAACCGAGATGACTGACTTTAGAGGTCAACCTGGTCCAAGATGGCTGCCACAGCTGAACTAAACAAATACTGAATCTAAAAACTGCAGCAGTTGTTGCTACACAGATACTGAGCTAAAGTTTGTTGTGGTAGTAGCTGAGAGTCATCCAACACGTACTCTGAGCGTCCATCTTGCAGTATGGTATGAAACTGAGTAACGGTGACCTGACTGAACATTGTTGGAATTTTTACCTGGATTACTGAGCATGAACTTTGATGTCTGAGTAATGGTATTTTCAACATTTGATTTTAAACAAAGTCTTTTTATTTATATTCTTCTTTTTTTGATACAAAGAAAACGAGAACACAAAAACCCCTCCCACACTGGACCAGTCGCACATACACAAAGGAACTACACACAGGCATGGACAAGTTCTCAACAAATGATACAAAGGGCTGCCAAGTGTCCCAGGATCGTCTTACAGAACCCTTCAGGGTGTATTTGATCTTTTCCAAATGAATATGGCACACATCACCTCCATTACCCAATGTACATATGGTGGTGGTGGGGTGTGGCTCCTTCCAGTTGCACAAAATCAGCCTCCTGGCCAGAAGCGAGCCAAAGGCAATTACATCCCTCTCACATTTGCTGAAGGACGTGTCCACGGGGACCACCCTGAACAGCGAGATGAGTGGTGATGGGTGAACAGTTTTGCCACATATTCCAGAGAAGGTGTCGAATATAGATTACCAGAAGGCTTTCAGCTTGGGACAGGTCCAGATTGTATGCAGGAGTGTAGCTGGAGTTTGTTTGCAATGATTGCATGCGGGGTCCAGATCGACCTTGATCCTGGACAGTTGTCTTTGGACCAGAGCAGCCTGTGCACCACCTTGATTGACATGTGTCAGACAGATTGAAGATGAATAAATGTTCTTAATGATCACAAAGTTTGTTTTCTCAGTCATCCAGGTATATAACAACAAAAAAGGTTGAATCATGTCATCTGGACTTCGTTTTTTTTGTTAAAAAGAAACGTTTCGCCCCTCGTCCAAGAGGCTTCG